AAATATACCCACAAAGAAGAAAATTCAACTCCTGCAGGACAACCAGACCAGAGAGTCTCACCAGAGGATGTGTCGGATTGCTCAGCAGACATTCCTCAACCCCAGAGTTAGACAGCCCAACCAGAGACTGTCACCTAAGGGCGTCTTGGATTGCTAGCAGGCATTTCTCAACCCGCCAACCAGCGGACCACTGGTGGTCCGTGAGGTCCGAAAGGTTGGCAACCGCTGCTCTAGACTCTAGAGGTAAACAGCCAGACCAGGGATCATCACCTGAGGATGGTTTAGATCAGGGGTGGGCGAACTTTTTGACTCAAGGGCCACAATGCGTTCTTAAACTGGACCGGAGGGCCGGAACAAAAGCATGGATGGAGTGTTTGTGTGAACTAATATAAATTCAAAGTAAACATCATTACATAAAAGGGTACGGTCTTTTTTTTTTTTTTTTTTTTAGTTTTATTCATTTCAAACGGGCCAGATCCGGCCCGCGGGCCGTAGTTTGCCCACGACTGGTTTAGATTGTCCCACGGGTGTTTCTCAACCCTCGATAATTAAACATACGCTGTGCCCTGAATCTAACGTCCTGGAGGCTGTTCCTGCTTAACCAACCACAAGCTCAGTGCACACCAGGACAGAAATGACCTTTCCTATAACCCTTTGTCCAAAATAGAAATACTAATTAAAGCAACCACAGGGGCTGACCTACCCACCTCCCTGTCGAAGCACTGAATGAAACAAGTTCAGTAGGCCATTTCACTTCACTGTCAAGGCAGGCTAGGCCGCCATTCCAGTGGTCAGCACCCAGTTGGAGTACCCTATAAAATAGATCCTCCATCCAGTTGAGACACAGGTGAATAAACCTTAGATAAGCTGCCACTGCCAACTGCTTCACCAGTGTCTATACCAGGCCAAGAGGGAGTTCTTTTAAGAGAGTCCCATCTGGTCTGGCTGGTGTGGCTCAGTGGTTGCATGTCGCCCTGTGAACCAGGAGGTCATGGTTCAATTCCTGGTCTCCTGACTGGGTTTCTTAGGGCTTGATCCCCAGTAGGGGCATGCGGGAGGCAGCTGATCAATGATTCTCTCTCATCATTGATGTTTCTATCTCTCTCCCTCTCCCTTCTCTGAAATCAATAAAAATATATTTGCAAAAGTATCAGTAATGACTGTAAGTGACAAAAAGAACTGCAAAAGGCATGGTTATAGATCTGATTATATGCAATTGATAAAGAAATTTGCTCTTCTCTGTAACATAATATTTTAAGATACCAAATAGAACCCCTCCTGGAACCCCCCAATCTGAGATGAATACCTCTTCCCTGTGCTCTGGCTTCCTGTGCATACCCCACTGGTAGCACTTTTTACATGGAAAAAACTGTCTATCCTTCATTTATCTTTATTTCCAGTACCTGGCTCACCTGGGCTTGATGCTGCCTCTTCCAGTAGCTAGTTGGGTGACATTGAGCAAATCATTTACTTTATCACAATCCCCATTTTTCCCAGGGAGGTTGGACCAGATAATCCTTGAAATTTGCTTCCATTCTGAAATGAATGCTTCTGTGAAGAGGAAAAAGCAGCAAAATAGTCTTAAAAATAGGTGAATGTGTTATGACATAGAATGCACCTCCCATTACTCTTCCTTTTCTTCTCTTTAGAGGTTGCTTTCTTCTGAGAAGGTCTCTGATAAGAACCATTCTCTCCCCAAACCCTGCTGGGGCAAGGACATGAGGCTCCTCTTTGACCAGTTCATGAAGAAATGTGAAGATGGCTCCTGGATACATTTGCCTTCATATGAGTATATAGCAACTCAAAGGAGTCAAGACTTCCCAACCTTTATTCATGGTAGGAACAGCAAGCAATTCTCCCATAAAGAATATTTAAATATTGTCCTGGCTGGTGTTGCTCAGTTGCTTAAGCATCCTCCCATGCACCAAAAGGTCATCGGTTTGATTCCTGGGCTGTGCAGGAAGCAGCTGATCAATGTTTTTCTCTCACATAAATATTTCTCAATATATATCTCCCCCCCCCACCCCACCTCTCTTTTCCTCCCTCTCTAAAATCAATAAAAACATTTTTAAAAAGAATATTTAAATATCAAATATAAAACTAAGAAGAGATTGAAGCACTAGTTACCACTTGGAAAGGGGAGGCGTGTAATGCAGGGGTTTCTATAGTCTCCAGTTTTACAGACCAGAAACCTCAATGAATTTTGCAGTTTGTGGGAAGGCATAAAGCCTTTTGCCTGGAATAAGACTGCCTCCCACTGGCATCCTCATCACCGTTAGCAGGAGTGAACAAAAGACCCCAGAGAGCCTCCCCCTTCCCACAGCCTCAGCACTTCTCTGTGATGGCATCTTTCTCATACGTGTTTCTCATGTGCCCATCCAGCTTATTTCCCTACAGCCTCGGAGCTTATAAACAAAGAAAAACTGTCACAGGGCCGGCTCTTCACCAAAAGCTTTGAGGATGGCCTGGGCTTTGAATATGTGATGTTCTATAATGATGCTGAGAAAAGGATAGTTTGTGTGTTTCAAGGAGGTCCTCACCTGCAAGGAATGCCTGGGTAAGAGTGCCAGCCTAGAAATGTGGGTCTGAAGGAGTGTTATTTGACACTGTCCCTGTGTGTTCATGGACTAGAATGAAGGCATTAAAATGGTGATGTAGAGACATTTGTTGACATGGAAAGATGTTTATAATAAATCACAAAAGGCCCTAACCGGTTTGGCTCAGTGGATAGAGCGTCGGCCTGCGGACTAAAGGGTCCCAGGTTCGATTCCGGTCAAGGGCATGTACCTTGGTTGCGGGCACATCCCCAGTAGGGGGTGTACAGGAGGCAGCTGATCGATGTTTCTCTCTCATCGATGTTTCTAACTCTCTATCCCTCTCCCTTCCTCTCTGTGAAAAAAATCAATAAAATGTATTAAAAAAATAAATAAATAAATCACAAAAGCATAGGAGACATAAGCCAACAGTATGATTTGAGAGAGTATCATTGGCATGTTAACAGTGGCTTTGTCACTAGAGGGCCTCATAATTTTTTATTTATTTTTCGTTTTCTTTTGTTTACCTACATTTCCTAAATTTTTACACAATGATGTGTATAGTTAGTTAAATGCAAACATCAATTTTCTAAATGATATTTTAACGTTTTGCTTGCTTGTGATCTGATTACCTGGTTTATTATAAGTACTACACCATTATGGTATGAACACAGTAAAGTTGGGGACATGGATATTTGACGTTCAGTACACTGAGCATGGACAAAGTGGACCTTTCTTAAGCAAATTATGTGGAGATGCTTGGATAATCCCCCCCACTCCCACCCCCAACCCCCACCGGCTAAGGGACTCTCTCTTTTCAGACTTTTTTGAAACACTTCTCTTTTCCTCTTATTATAACTAGATTTTTTCACGGAGGTGCCATTGCAACCATGATTGATGCTACTGTTGGTATGAATGCGATTGTATCTGGGGGAATTGTCATGACTGCCAATCTCAACATCAATTTTAAAAGGTAAATTCATGAGTATTCTCTACTACTTAGGTGTCATAGGTCAGGTTTACCAGCAACAGAGCCTGAGACAAAGATGTATGTGCAAATAATTATTAAGGTGGTGCTCCCAGAAGAAAGCTAGCAAGGCAGTGGGAGACACAGGACAGGGAAGGGGAAGAAGCCAACCAAGGTTGAGCTCACGGTCCCAAAAAGGGGAGCAGCAGCCTGATCACACATGGAACTTTGGAGTGAAACATGTGCCTCAGAATTGCCCCTACCTCAGGCAAGGGAACTAGAGACTTCACATCTCACACGTCAATCATAGGCTAAGTCATAGGGAAATCCTACACTGGGGACCATAAATTCCCAGGCATGTCTCATCGTGAGCAGTAAATGAATCAATCCATGTAAACTCCTAGGAGAGTATCTGGCCACATAACAAGTACTCAGTAAATGTTAGCGGCTTATTATTATTTGTAACGTTGTTATCATTACTTTTACTTCTAGCAACAAGGCACATCTGTGACAGGGCAAGGAATAGCTACTAAGATCCCTGATTCCTATTCATGGAGAATAGTGCTAAAGGTCAGAAAAATATTAGACTGTTCCACATGCGCCATGATGAGAGGGATGACCTCACTGCTATAGATGTTTTAGGTACTGTGGACCTCTTCAAATTATGAAGTCTTTCAACCCATAAACATGGCATATCTTTCCATTTATTTGTATTTTTAATTTCTTTCAGCATTGTTTTGCAATTTTCAGTGTACAAGTTTTTGGCCTCCTTGGTTAAATTGATTCCTAAGTATGTTAGTTTTGATGCTATTATAAATGAAATCGATTTTTTAAATTCCCTTTTCAGATTGTTCATTGTTAATGTATAGAAATGCAGCTGATTTTTTTGTGTTGATTTTATATCCTGCAACTTTTCTGAATTCATTTATTAGTTCTAACAGTTTTTTGTGGAATCTTTGGGGTTTTCTACATACTAGATCATGTCATCTGTGAATAGAGATAATGTACTTCTTCCTTTTCAATTTGGATGCCTTTTTTCCTTGCCTAATTGCTCTGGCTGGGACTTACAGTACAATGTTGAATAGAAATAGCAAAAGTGGGCATACTTATCTTTTTCCTCATCTTAGAGGAAAAGCATTCAGTGTTTCACCATTGAGTGTGGTGATGTTAGCTGTGGGCTTTTCATATATGGCCTTTACTATGTTAATTTAATTCCTCATGCTTAGCACATTAAGATAAACTTATTAAGATAAATAGACAAAGCAGCTAATGATTAGTGGTGGCTAGCAGCTGCAAGATCAATATCTCAGCATTTCTATAACCCATCCATGGCATATTGGTTGGGAAGCACTGGATTAGGCTTTTCATGCAACATGGCAGACAAGAAATTTCAAAGGACATTTCCCTTTCCTAACAATTAGATCCTGTGTCAAATTCACAAGGAAACAAACCACCATAAGTGAGAATCAGCAAGAAACAATGAGTAACATATTTAGATCCTCAGGGACTTAAGGTATGATAATCAGATACACAATATAACAGAACTGTGTATGAGGTGTTTAAAGAAATAAAAGATGAAATCACAAAAAGAGAACGCAACAAGAAATTATAAAATTATTAAGCAGATTTGCCACAGAAATTAAAATTTTTAGAAATGAAAATGTAATTGTTTAAAAACAAGCACCCCCTCAGTTGATAGGTTAAAGGGCTATTTAAACACATCTGAAAGTGAACAGAAATATAGAATTGAAGAAATTACCCTGAATCCAGCACAAAGAAAAAAAAAGAGATGGAAAATATAAAATAGAGGTTAAGCTATAGAGGACAGATGAAAATTTATGTGATCTATTCAGAGTCCTTGAAGAAGAGTGGAGAGAATGGAAGGGATCCAGTATTTGGAGAGAGAATGGATGAACATATTCTCAAACTAAAGAAAATCATGAGCCCACAGACACAGAAAGCACAACATATATCAAGCAAAATGAATAAAAATAAATTCATATCTAGATATATTACAGAGAAGTTAAAGAAGATGAAGGCAAAGAAATCTTTAAAAACAAGAGATACATGGGTATCCATAACAGAGCAGTCTTGTTTCTTAGAAGCAAGAGGGCACCATTGCACTGGCAATAAGCTCATCAGTAGCAATAGCGGAAGTCAGAAGACCAGCCTCTTTAGGGAATGTTTATCTAGGGTGGTCACACCACTGACATCAGGTGTCATACACTTAATCATCTCTGAATGTTACAAAAATCTGATAAAAACGGATTTTTTCCCCTTTTTTTCTTTTTTCTACAGACCTATCCCCCTTTGTTCTATTGTTTTGATAAATAGCCAACTTGATAAAATTGAAGGAAGGAAACTGCTTGTGTCCTGTAATGTTCAAAGCGTTGATGAGAAGATCCTATATACAGAGGCAACAAGTAAGGAGCTGCCACTCCCTTTTTTTCGTTTGGTTTAGTTTAGTTTGGTTTGGGTACTTTTCCTTTGGGGGGTTTGTTTGAGTGAGGGGTTTTTCTGGGTCTATTTTTGTTGTTGTTTTGTTGACTGTTGGTTTTGTTTTGTTTTTTTGCTTTGGTTTTATAAGCCATACATGCCCAGAAATTTTTAATTTCCTGTCATTCAAAGAATAAGTTAAAGGTATTCCATACACATGCCAGTAGGGAGCTATTTGCCAACATTTATCAAAATTACAGCATCATATATATAGCCTTTGACCCATTTCCAGGACTTAATCCCACAAGTGTACTAACTTGTGCAAAATTACAATGTATGCGGTTGCTCTAGGGTCCCAGTAATTGTGTTGTTTATGCAGCATTATTTGGAATAGCACAAGATTTGGCAAAACACATATCCATAGATAGGGACTGATTAAAAAGATAACAGGTCATCCATAAACTATATTGCCTGTGTCATAAAAAAGTACTGGGCCCTGGCTGGGTGGCTCAGTTGCATGGAGTGTCCTCCCAAGCACCAGAAGGTTTTCTTATTTTACATGAGAAAAGAAATCGCAACATATTACTAGTGTCTTGGAGATGCAGATCTCTTCCTTCCAGGATCTCTATAGCAGTCTGTTAGAAATGCTCACATAGAGATGCTCCCCAACCGCATCCTGGAGCACAGCGCAACTCCCCGCTCTCACCTTTGCAGATGGGGGACCCTTGAAGCCTCACTTTTATTCACTTCAGATTTAGACAAATTAATTTAGATATCCAGTGCTTTTTGTTTGTTTATATTTTTTCTTGTAAGGAATCCCAGATGCAGAGGTTTGGAAATATATATTTCTACTTTAGGATACACAGTCATCATTGGTACATGAATGATCATCTCATTTATTCATTCACTAATGTATCTGTTTTTTAATTGAATAATAAACACCCTGGAACCTACCATCAAACAAGAACCAGAATCTTAATAGTTTATCCCTGCCCAATTACTTTTCCTCATCTCATTCTCCTGCATTTCCTCCAGAAGTAACTCTGGTCTAGAATTTTGGGGATTTTATTCCTTTGTACCTTATTATTTTTTTTAAAATCAAGAATATAGGTGTAACTAAGGAATATATTGTTTAGTGTTTGCTTTTGAACTTGGTAGGAAAATTTTGTGCTGCATGTGCTTGTTTGGGATTTAATATTTTGTCACTCAGCTTCATGGTCCTGAGGTCCACCCATGATGCTGGCTATGTAGTTTGCCCGTTTTTGCTGCTGTATAGTGCCCCACTGTGTCACAATGGATTTATTCCTCTTCTGATGGTGGGCCTCTGACTATTATGAATGGGGCTGCTACAGACATTCTTGGTCATGTCTGCTGGTGGTGTGCATGGGCCAGCTCTTGGCATGAACTGAGGAGTAGTATTTCTGGGTTGTAGAGTATGAGAGTGTTCAGTTCTACAGGGGAATGTCAGATTGTTTTCTAAAGTGGTGCCAGTTTACACTCCCACCAGCAATATATGAGATTCTGTTGATCCCTATCTTCTCTAGCAGTTGGTAAAATCAGACTTCTGGATTTTTGCCAATCAAATGGTTATAAAATTGTATCTTAGTGTGATTTTGATTTGTATTTCTTTGATCACATATGGAGTTGAGCATCTCTTCATATATTTATTGACCATATTTGTTTCCCATTCTGTGGCATTCCTGTTTGTTCAGCCTCTTTTATTGTGTGTTTTTTTTTCTCATTTTTTCTGGTTTATATTTATGATGTTATATTAAACTAATCTTTTTACTGGATACATAAACTGCATATATTTCCTTTTAGTATGTAAGTTGTCCTATTTTCTTTAAGAAGTATTTTTTCTGAACAAGAGTTTTTCATGTTAATATAGTCACATTTATTAACTTTTTTCCTTGATGGTTAATGCTTTTTGTGTCTTGTTTAAGAAATTCATTTACCCCCTAAAGATCAGCTATTTGCAGGAATGTTGGATGAAAGGAGCAGGAGGAAGACCATGAATAATTTGAATCCGTAATCAGTTTAAAAACTCCATTCCAGGCTGTGGTTTATACTTCCTATCTTACGAAATCTTTCAGTATCCTAAAGGTACCAGATGGCCCAGTTGTAATTGTACTTCTTTTCACTTCCCTGACTCTCTCTAATGAAAGTGGTAATGAACCATGAAATGACCAAGTGGTAGAGGATCTGGTTTCCTAGGGAAGATAATACAGTATTGATATCATCAAAAGTTGATTCATAATTTTGCTGAAAAATGAGAGATAGACTGAAGGTACAAATATGAATCTAAATGCCTTTCTTTGAATACATATTTCTACTTAGAGAAGTCTCATGAGGTTGAAGTCAGTTGACTTATAATCATCTTCTGGTTTTTTGTTTGTTCATTTAGGCTTATTTGTAAAGCTGAATCCTGAAAAAGAGTTTGACATAAAAGAGCTTGTGTTGAAATCTGCTCCACCTGCTTAAGGCTCTCTGCTTAAGGCTGTGTTCCCCAGTCCTGCTCTGCTCGCCCACTGTGAGCCCCTATACGGTGAAGCCTGCTGACACTGCCTTTATGAACAGTCTTCTGAATGCAACTCCAGGAGCTCCATTTCCACCTTCTAAACTTCCTAACACAGAAGCACTTCCTATGAGAGTATCAGCAATGTTAGAATTGCTGTGTCCTTAGAATAAGTGGCTTTCCTGCAATTTGAACGGACTCCTTAAGGTGATATCTGTAAACTTGAAAATTCCAGAAAACCAAATGAAGGAGCAAATATGTGCATGCATATTTGCATGTGTGTCTAATGTGTGCATGCATGTATTCATGATTTGTAAATTTCAAAGCTAATTTTGTTGTATCTAAAATCTTTTTGAGCTGGCCAGCATGGTTGAGCATCGACCTATGAACAAGAAGGTCATAGTTTGAATCCCGATTAGGGCACATGCCTGGGTTGCGGGTTCAATCCCCAGTGTGGGGCATGCAGGAGGCAGCCAATCAATGATTCTCTCTCATCATTGATGTTTCTATCTCCCTCTCCCTTCCTCTCTGAAATCAATAAAAATATATTTGAAAAATAAAATCTTTTTAACTATAGTAGGAAACACAACTAGTTCCTATAGGAATAGATTTCTCAGTTCGGTTCTCTTGGATTCTAAGGATAACACCACTGTGCCATCTTTAATATAAGTGGTGCAGTTGTGTCTTTCCAACAGCATAGTTTCTCATCACTGGAAGGGGCCTCGTTTTGTTTCCTGTGTGTCTTAATCTATTCAGCTGCTATAACAAAATACCACAGACTGGGGAGATTATAAACAACAGAAACTTAATGCTCATGGTTCTGGAGGCTGGAAAGTCCAAGATCAAAGCATCAGCATGGCCACCTTCTGCTGGGGGCTTGCTTCCAGGTTCATAGCTGGCGCCTTCTCACTGTGTCCTCATATGCAGGAAGGGGTGGGGCTAGGGATCTCTCTGGATCCTCTTTTATGAGGGCACTAATCCCATTCATGAGGGCTCCATCCTCATTAGTTAAGAATCTCCCAAAGGCCCCACCTATTAGCACCATCACATTGGACATTAGGGTTTCAACATAAGAATTTGGGGGGCGGGGGGAAGAACACAAACATTCAGACCATAGCATTAGGCTGCCATAACAAAGTATCACTAACTGGATGCTTCAAACAACAGAAACACATGGTCTCACAATTGTGGAGACCAGAAGTCCAAAACCAAGGCGTCATCGAGGCCATGCTCTGAAGGCACCAGGAAGGAACTGTTCTGAGCCTCTCTCCCAACTGCTGGTAGCCTCAGGCCTCCCTTGGCTTGTAGACACAGCGTGCCTCATTTTATGGTGTTTCACGCTATTGCGCTTTACAGATACGTTTTTACTCACTGAAAGTTTATGACAATCCTGTGTCAAGCAATTCTCATAGGCACCATTTTTCTAACAGCATTTACTCAGCATTAGTCTCTGTGTCACTTTTTTTTTTTAATCCGCACCTGAGGATATTTTTTTCCCATAGATTGTTTTAGAATGGAGGGGAGGAAGGAGAGAGAGAGAGAGAGAGAAACATCGCTGTGAAAGAGACATCAATTAGTTGCCTCCTGCACACGCCCCAACTGGGGCCAGGGATTGAACCCCCAACCCTTTGTTCTAAGGGCTGACACTCTAACCACTGAGCAAAACATGCTAGGGCTCTGTGTCACATTTTGATAATTCCCACACCATTTCACACTTTTCCTTATTATATTTTATAGCAATCTTTGTGTTACTATTGTCATTGCTTTAGGGTGCTGTGAACTCTGGCTAAAGAAGATGGTGAACTTAATAAATGTGTGTTCTGACTGCTCCACTGACTGGCCATTCCCCCATCTCTCTCCCTCTCCTCAGGCCTCCCTATTCCATGAGACAGCAATATCAAAATTATGCCAATTAATAACCCTACAATGGCCTTGAAGTGTTCAAATGAAAGGAAGAGTCATGTCTCTTTAAATCAAAAGCTAGAAATTATTGAGGTTAGTGAGGAACGCATGTTGAAAGCCAAGATACACTGAAAGCCTATACCAAACAGCCATGTTGTGAAATCAGAGGAAGTTTTTGAAGGAAATTAAAAGTTGCTGCTCCAGTGAACACACGAATGATGAGAAAGCAAAATAGCCTTATCGCTGATGTGGAGAAAGTTTTAGTGGTCTGGGTAGATCAGACTGAGAGGGTTGTGTGGGCCCACACTAGGTGTCTACTCCTTTGCAGACCCTAGTAACCAGGTGGTGAGGGCTGTTCCCTCCCACTGTGTTCCAGGTGCCCACCCACACCTGCCAAGGTGCCTGCAAGCCAAGCCTTCAGCCACAACATTCCCTTAAGTCAAAACCTAATAAAAAAAACAAACACAAACCTAATCCAGAACAAGGCCCCCTGCAACAAGAGTCCCAAGAGCATAAGAGCAACCAAGAAAGTGATTTCCTTTGTTTAGGGCAGCGGTTCTCAACCTGTGGGTCACCACCCTTTGGGGGTGGAATGACCCTTTCACAGGGGTCGCCTAAGACCATCGGAAAACATATATAATTACATATTGTTTTTGTGATTAATCACTATGCTTTAATTATGTTCAATTTGTAACAATGAAATTGGGGGTCACCACAACATGAGGAACTGTATTAAAGGGTTGCGGCACTAGGAAGGTTGAGAACAACTGGTTTAGGGGATTAAATGGTCCAAATTTCACACCCTTGCAGTGGCCGTACTCATTCTGGCCAATGACCTATTCCCAGCTGTGACTGACAGACAAGGACCTTCCTGGGGTCACCCCAACATTACTGGGCATGCGTTTGTTCTCCCTATCTGTCCCTTCTCCCAGTGATCTGCAGGGAATAGATCGGTGGCTCCCTGGGGAGTGGAAAGCTTTAGCTTCCTGGTGAAGCTGTCCAAATGACATGTCTATAATAATTGGCCTTCCCTTTGCTCCTTTCCTGTTATTAATAACTAGGTTAATTACAATGGTATCACATTGTTTCTGAGTATGTATATCCACACCAGGGTATGACTGTGGAGTGTGTGAGTATGTGATTGTGTGTGAATGCATATATGAGTGTGTGTGGCCATGCATAGTATATTTGTGAGCGTATGCATTGCACGCGCCCGTGTGTGCACATGTGCACCTGTGCATGCATTATGAGAATCAGGTAACTCTGGAGCTGCACCTGCCAGAGGTGGGGCAGGGAAGCAAGTCACTGGCGTCCTCAATGTCCAGGAGCCAGGCCAGTACAGCCTAACAGAAGGCACCGGGAGGGAGCAAGACTTTCTCTGCACCAAGGAACTCTACACCTGAGCAGGTACGCCACTGTTCTTTGCTGACAGGGCCACCAACGCACAGTGGTGATGCCATGTGCCCAGTGCCCAGCCGTGGGCAGAAGACCTTACCTCCAAGGAGGCCATATCTCCCAGACTCCCCTGCCCAGCTAAAGGCCAGCGGCCAGAGCCTCAGGGAGGAAATGCCTCCCGCCGCCAGTGTGTTCTTTCTCTGTCCTCATGGACAGAGCCTAAGGCAGACCCCCAGAGCCAGATACCCCTGAACAGCTCGGCTTCCAAGAAGGAATCCATGGCCAAGTAGTTTAATAGGGAACTTAATCTTGCCATGCCGCTCACAGAATGGAATGCTAAAATTGCCCTCCTTCCTCAGAGGTATGAAGACAGAGTCCTACCAGCTCCCAGGGAGGAAGAACTGGTTTTTCATATGCTAACCATTCCGGCCTGTGCTTGGGGTTCTGGGAACTCTTGCGAAAGATAAGAAGGATTTTGAAAGAAAAGGGGTCCCTCCACCCCATCTCAGTGGAAGTCTGAGGATTGTCTAGGGAGCCAGGAAGTGAAGAAGGGTGACTATAGGGCAGGTAGCAGGGAAATTTGCCCCAAAAAGGAGAGGGCTCCTTGCTTGGGAAGCACAGAGGGGGGCTGGAGGTAGAAGAGCCCTGGGTGGCTCCTCTGTGTGGAACAAGGTTCAGAAACTCCTCCAGGAGCCACCTGGGAGCTAAGCCATCACCTAGCAAGCATCTCCCTCCACCTGCTAGACCTGGAGGTGGTGCTCCCAGGGCCTGATGAGGACTTGCCTTCACAGGCCCTCAACGCACCTACTCCTCCTGTGACTCAGCAGCAAGACTGATGCACCATCAGGGCCACGGGACCTGGGCCTGCACCCATCTGATTATCTTATGTGGACATATGCTCCACTCCCAGGATGCCCACGGCCCTGAGGAAAGGGAACAAGGGTCACCTTTCTAGGAAGGCTCGTGAGCTTGGTCCTTGACCTTGTTTACAGTTAGTAACACCTGGTTTCAGAGTTCTCAGGGGCTAAAGGGGCTCAGGATATCATGGGGGCAGGTGGTCATCA